TATATATATAATATTTTCCATTATGAATATAATATTTAGTACACCTTCAATACTTGTCTTGTTCACACTGCCTTCTTGTATTTTTTCAATAGACAATTGAGCTGACACATTGGTTGCATTTTCTTTATCTTCCAACTGCACGGTTTTTTTATCTTGCAACTGTTCTCCATGTTCTTCAGTTGCAATTTCACAAGATTCTGCAAAATATTTACAAGAGCTAACACAATTAGTACTTGTTATTAATCTTTGATTAAAACAAACATGTATAAAATTAAAAAAAAAATACTATCTAACCGTTTGCAATTGTCAAGATCATCCCAGTTAAATCATTATCTTCTCTAGCATTTTCTTGGCTTCCAATATTGTCGGTAAGAGAGCGGGGTGTAGAGAGATCACATGTTCCATCTATGCATTTGAAAACAATCTCACTTATGCTTGTTCCTTTGGTATTTTCTAGGTCTTGAGATTGTACTCCACTTTTCTCTTGATACTCCGCTTTAGCTTCTTCCCTTGCAGCTTCAAAAGATTCTGTAACATTTACAATTAATACCCATTTTAATAGTTCATTAAAACTAACATTCAACATTTCATGAAAATTTCATCTAACCTTGATTGGCATAATTTTGAACTCCAAATTTCTCTTTATATGAGAGAGGTATAGACATATCATATGTTCCTTCTAAACATTTGCATACAATCTCACTGACACTTGTTTCCAATAGACTATCTAAATCCTGAGATTGCACTCCACATTTACAAATTTTTCCTGTTACTATTGTCTCTTTTGGATTTTCCTGGTCTTGACATTCTACTACATCTTGAACTTCCACTCCATCAATAGATTTTACAAATATTTGTAATCACAAAAAAGTTTATATGTATTACGCTATTGAATATAAATTTCAATGAAAAAAAATTCAAAATCTATATCTAAACTTTCCCAATTTCAGTGCCGATATCCGTTTCATCATCTAGATGTGCATTTGTTTAATCGCTTTCATACTGAACTTCTGCATGCACATCCATATCATCACGTTCATCACCACCTGCAAATCTTTGTTAATTGTAACAGTAGGTTCTGTACCATCACAATGATCATCAACTCTATCTTTAGTAATTGGAACATTAGATTCTCTCTCTATGTTTCTTTTATCAGGTTTCACATAAATCTTCAACAAACTATCAAGCTTTGATCCTAAACTTTTCTTTAAATCCTGTGAAAGAAACTAAGTTAGAAAGTTAAGGACAGGCAGTCCTAAACTTCAAGTTACAAGTGAAGAAGGTAAGGACAGACAGTCCTTAACTTAGAGTAACAAGTTCAAAAGTTAAGGACATGCAGTCCTTAACTTTGAATTCCAAGTTAAAAAGTTAAGGACACTTGGTCCTGAACTTCATGTTTCAAATTGAAAAGTTAAGGACACTTGGTCCTAGACTTCAAGTTTCAAGTTCAAAATTTCAGGACAGATGTTCCTGAACTTAGACTTACAAGCTCAAAAGTTAAGGACACTTGGTCCTAAACTTCAAGTTTCAAGTTCAAAAATTAAGGACATGCAGTCCTTAACTTATAGTTACAAGATCAAAAGTTAAGGACAATAGGTCATTAACTTCAAGTTTCAAGTTCAAAAGTTAAGGACATGCAGTCCTTAACTTTGAATTCCAAGTTCAAAAGTTAAGGACAATGGTCCTGAACTTTAAGTTTTAAGTTCAAAAGTTCAGGACCGATGGTCCTAAACTTAGACTTACAAGTAAAAAAGTTAAGGACATGCAGTCCTTAACTTTGAGTTACAAGTTTAAAAGTTAAGGACACAAGGTCCTGAACTTAGACTAACCGAAATTAATGATATTACCTTGATTTTCATTTTGATTTTTTTTTTCTGATACAAATATTTTCTGATTTATTCTAGTAACTTTAGCATGCATATCCTTTTTAAAACTCTCTGATAATCTCTGAATCAAAACCATAAAAATAAAAAAGTCTGTTAAGCAAAAAATAATCAAATAAAAAACTAATGTTATTCAAAGACAGAAAACCTACTTTAACAAATTCCTTAAGCATGACTTCATCAAATTGTGTGGAAGAAGGCATTGAGCTTTAATCTTAAGAAATTGGCTCATGCACACTAATAGGCTCTGTATCTTCTTCAATAGGAATAAATGGTGCCACCTCGATCAAATTATACAACTATTATATAACAAAAAAAACATAAGTTTTCAGAACTAAAACAAATAAACAAAAAAATAGCTAGTAATTAGATTAGCTTACATTTTCATTATGAAAGTATTTTTCACACAGAGAATCATACTGTGGAGATTTCATTTCCAAATAACATAACATTCGAGGAAAACCACATTCTCGGAAGTTCACAAATTATTTTTCCTGAAAAATAGGCAATACTTCCATAATCTAAACACAAAAAGCAAAAGGAAAGCCAAGTATAGTGTAGTTATCCTTGTCTTTATATTTGTCTTTCTCTTTCTCATTCTCATTCTCATTCTCATTGGGCTTCAAACAACTCTTCAATGATTTTAATAACGTTTCATAAGAAAGAGAGCCCCAGTTGAAAGAAGAGCAGAGTTCATCATCGTCTAAAATTTTCATTATCTGCTCGGACACATTCCTATTCTTCCGCTTCCCCATCAAAACAGATTCAACAAAATAAATTATTGCCAACTTCACAGCATCATCATTGCTGCCTACAAATGATGCAGTTGTACCATTTGAGTGACTAGTAATAAAATTAAACAAATCACCCAACTCAACTCTATCCTTTCCGGGGAAATAGACTTTCGAAAGTCTATCCTCTTTTTCATGCAAACCTTTGATGTCCAGTGAAGAATAATACTTCAAACCAGTAATTATATGAAATGTTTCATGTGTAAACTTAATTTCATGGTCAAAAACCTTGAATGTCATCGAATCAGGGTCATTATTAACAATTTCTGAAATCAATACACAATGAATAAATTTACCACAGAATTTCACACTTTGTAATCGAAAAAAGTTTCCGAAAATACCATCCCTCAACTTCTTCCACTGTCTGTTTGACAAAAACATTTTGATTGTTTCCTTATACTGTAAATATCCTTTCTAATAGATCATAAAATTACGCCAAACATCAAACTCAAACACATGTTCTCCTTCCATTAGCACACTACAAAGAAGGAAAAAGAACATAAAAGATTAGCATCAAAAGATTAGGACTTACAGTTACAACTTGAAAACTTTGAGGCACTTGGTCCTGAACTTCAAGTTTCAAGTAAAAAAGTTAAGGACAGGCAGTCCTTAACTTAAAGTTTCAAGTTGAAAAGTTAAGGACAATATGTCCTGAACTTCAAATTTCAAGTTCAAAAGTTAAGGACACTTGGTCCTTAACTTCAGGTTTCAAGTTAAAAAATTAAGGACAGACAGTCCTTAACTTATAGTTTCAAGTTGAAAAGTTAAGGACAATATGTCCTGAACTTCAAATTTCAAGTTCAAAAGTTAAGGACACTTGGTCCTTAACTTCAGGTTTCAAGTTAAAAAATTAAGGACAGACAGTCCTTAACTTATAGTTTCAAGTTGAAAAGTTAAGGACACTTGTCTTGAACTTCAAATTTCAAGTTCAAAAGTAAAGGACATTTGGTCCTTAACTTTGAATTCCAAGTTCAAAAGTTAAGGACACTTGGTCCTTAACTTAGAGTTACAAGTTAAAAAGTTAAGAACATGCAGTCCTTAACTTATAGTTTCAAGTTGAAAAGTTAAAGACATTTGTCCTGAACTTCAAGTTTCAAGTTCAAAAGTTAAGGACACTCAATCCTTAACTTTGAGTTCCAAGTTCAAAAGTTAATGTCACTTGGTCATTAACTTTTATGAACAAAGTTAACTAAAAATTCATAAACACAGTTAGTTTATGAATTCGTACGACTATTTTTATGAAATGTCCGTACATAATCAAATATATTGATTGAACCACAAGCACATTTCAATACCAAAAATTTCTGAATAACTTCTTCACAAAAATACGCTACTTATTCGTCACTGAATCAACTTATAATCATTATTTTTGAAATTTCACACATACTTGGCACAACATTGATCGCGATTACACATATACAAAAACAAAAATACATAAAAGCAATACCAGTTCGATCGTTCGATGCAGAGAAAATGACAGAGAAGATGAAAAAGTAGAAAGATTAATTACACCTGATTTGCATGCGAGGACGATACAGATATTGAGGAGCACGTGAAACTTGCCTCTGAAATTTTCGCTCTCAAATTTTTCGCTCTAAATGAATAAAACAAGAATTGGAAATTTAAGAATTGAAGAAAGGATAAAACTATCTTTTCACAACAATTTTAATAAAATAGTGATTATTTTTATTGAGCATTAAAATTAGTTGATAAAATTAAAAACTTAATGGCTACCGCACGCCATTTTTACACATTAATTTACGACAGTAACAACCTTTTTTAACAAGTGACATAATCTTACACTGAATCAACTCTTTTATTAATTTGATCTTACACTTACAGAAAAACAATCTATTACACTGATCATATTTTTCGTACGACATTAAATTACATACAGAAAATGGATACATGACATAAGTTTCATTCACAGAAACTAAATTAACTCACAACAACAAAGGCGATGGGGAAAAAACAAAAGATCTTAAACAAAATATCACATGTGCACTTGTTTACATTGCAGCTTTAGTAGCTTTAATATCTTCAGCGGCATTCCCTTCCTCAGAAATACTAATCACCTTAGCCTCTTTCTTCTCCTCAGCCAATTTTGGAACAGTAATCTTCAACACCCCATTTTCCATATGAGCTTTAATGTGTTCCAAATCAGCATTTTTAGGAAGCCTAAATTGTCTCCAGAACTTTCCAGAAGTTCTCTCAGCTCTGTGCCATTTTTCACCTTCAACTTCCTCCTCTGTTTTCCTTTCCCCACTAATTCTCAACACTCTGTTTTCTTCAACCTCTACTTTAATATCCTCCTTTCTCATCCCCGGAATGTCAAGAGAAATTATATGTTCTTTTGCTGTTTCTTTCCAATCTGAACGAGCTAAAGCGATTGTTTGATCAATTCCTTTAGGAATTGTAAGTGGGGTTTGTTCAAGAATTTTAAAAGGGTCATCTTGTGGGAACATTAAGTCCCAGATTGGACGTGTATATGGCATTAAAGCTTCGGTTTGTGATGGAAGAAGAGTTGTCATCATCATTGTTAAAACAAGAAAAGTCATGCCACCAACTTTTGCTATTTCCATTTCTTGATAATGCTGTAACGTGAAAGGAAGGTTGCTATAGGGGGAAGTATAAGTATTGACTAGTTTGAGAATGTGTTTTGAGTGATAATTGTCGTCCTGCTGGTTAATGGGATTGTAGAATTTGGAGCTTATATAGATGTTGGAACAGAGGCAGAGGATGGTTCAGGACAAATCTTCTACAAGTTTCTGGAGAAAGAATTTGCATTGAGAGTCGTTAATTCAGTGGTAGACGCTCTGGAACATTCAAGAGGCCGGGAGAAGCAAGAAAAAGAAGAGCTGTAGTCACCTCACCAATAATCTCGCGCCACGTGTGCTCAATCCGTGTTTATATGATTAATTAATGAATTCTTAAAATTTAAATTTGAGCAATTTTAGAGTTGTAGTCACCTGACAAATAATAACGTGTCCGTTCAAGTTGAATTATTTTAGGTCCTTTTATATTTAAAATCATCGACTAACACTATGTTTGGATCATTATTACCCATCGTTTTATAATAATTATATTGTATTGTATTGTATTGTATCGTATTGTATTGTTTTATGGATATAACGTTTGAATAGATTGTATCGTTTTCTGTTGTTAAATAACATTTTATTATTTAATTTGACTGTATCGTACTGTACTGTTACTGAAAAGTTCACTAAAACACCCTCAATTATTTTAAATAAAATTTATCAAGAATTACACATAAAAATAATTTAAGACAACCTCTTTCTACTACTTTATGATTAATTACATAGCTCGAAAACAAGAGCAAAAACCTGGAAAAAAAAAGTTAACTAATATTAGCTGTCACACCTCCTTTTTGCGCGCCCGCCCCGAAGGGTTAAATGCGCGAGGGAGTTTTTCCAATTTAAGTGACAATATTCGAAATGGGATTATTTATTTAATTCAGAGTCGCCAATTGGGAAAGGTTTGGCTTTTGGTGTCCCAAGTCACCGGTTTATCTTGAATCCCAAATCGAGGAAATTTTCGACTTTCCAAATGAAGTCTGTAAACCAAAAATTCTAAGTAAGGAATTCTGTTGACCCGAGGGAAGGTGTTAGGCACCCTCGAATCCCGTGGTCCTAGCACGGTCGCTTAAATTGTTATAATGGCTAAATATCTGATTTAAATACATGTTATGACTTACGTGCTTTTATTAAGTTTAAACCGCTTCTATTATTATTATTTATTTTTATGGAATTGCAACGTCGTGGAAATGCATCTCGAACCACGTCACAATCAATGCACCCGTGATCGTCGACACATTTTGACTCCGTTGGGATTTGGATTTGGGTCACATCAATGTGCACCCATGTTTAAGAGGGTTAAATTATTAAAAGGTGCGCCTAAAGCAACTAGCGTATTGTTATTTTGGGAAGGCCGTAAAATTCGCTAAACGGCCTGTCCCGAATTCTAAGTATTTTAATATATACATTTAGAGGGCCCCGCAGCTTGTGCATTTTTGTTTGTCGAGGCTTGTCTCGATTTTATTTGAGAGGATAAACCTATAGAGACTACAGTTTTATTGTGTTCGTCTCTAATGAAATGAAAGAAAGAGGATTACGTGCTAATTACATGCTTGACCAACTTCGGATCCTTATTTGATTATCTGATTTTATGAGGCGTGAATCGTTTTGTGCCTTATTTCATGGATGAACATGTCGTTAAATTGTCAGGGGAAATTAATATACAAGATCAATAGAACTGCTAAAAGCTTATGATAAATGTTCTTCATATCCGAGTTTGAAACTTGCTTATTTAAACCAGGTCAGTGGAATTAACTTATCGGAAACTAATACCAATAGAGTTTAAACAGGATCATGTGAACTACCTACAAAGATTCAATAAAACTACATCATATCTGGCAAGATTAAGGCATTATGTTCTGTACATGCAGAATATTAGTTGAAAGGTTACCTAATTATCTGTGTGCCAAAACACTCATACATTACTTATCAAACAACCCATTAAGCAAACGAAATCACAATTTAGGACGAACTAAGCTGCGATTAAGTACAAGGCTACCTAATGTGTTTCTTTATTGAATTACAAACTAAACAAATTACACAAATCTAATAACATTCGTAAAACTGTAACTGCAGCAAACGAAGGATTAAACTCCTGCATATTTTTTATTTCATGCTTTCATTGTTACATCAGATGCAAAGTCTTAGTATGTACCTGGATGTTGGATACAACAGAAGAAGCAAGGGGTCA